TACCGCAGGCTGCCTCCAACCGGCACCAGCATTGGGGTTCTGGGTTTGGGCATGAGGGTTGTTCGACGCTTTCATGTCAGGACGCCCGGCATTTCCAGTGCATACTACCATGTCTTACACCCGATTTGATAGATAAACAGATAGATAAGTAGATACATAGACTTAGACAGTTGACAGGTAGATAGAAACGAAAACTCAAGGGGGCTACAGGCGCAACCCAATCTTTGCCTACACATCCTACAGCTTAAGAGCCTTGCAAGTCTCAAACCCTTTACCCTGAATCCTAAACTCTTAGCCCTATAAGCCCGAAGCTTAAATCCCTAAACCCTAAACCATACATCTAAAGCCCCTAATCCTGGGAACTACAAAATCGTTTCACTGCTAAAAAAACTTGAACCCGAATACCTTCCTGAAGCACCAAAGTAACCTCGCGATTAACCCTAAACCCCTGATACACACTGATACGCACTGGATGGGCTGAAATGCCCGAAACTCTCCTACCCTGACCGAACCTCTTGGCACCAAACCCTGAGATGTACTTCGTTTTCGCTTTCGCTCTGCAGGTGGAAGGCAGCTTCGGGCGCTTCCGCAACACAGGCAGTGTCTCCCGGAGAAGCCTGGCCGGCGGTTTAGGGCTTCGGGTTTTGTGAGGGTTACTAAACTATCAAATTTCAAGGTGTTCGTTTACAGCTTCCTTTATTTCAAAGGGTTTTTTAAAATGTTGTTGTAGAATGTCGGGTGCTGGCATAGGCTTGGAGGCAACCTGTTGCGGACGAGAACGGAGGTTTGCGTGGCACATTCGATGCTTCGATTCAAAGAGGTATGCATGGTACGGGCTTATAGGGTTTAGGGTTTAGGGATTCTGGAGAAATATAGGATTGCCAAATCCTGAGGGTTCTTGGGGGTCATGTGTACTGCGCGACAGGGCATGCCGCGAAGCAAGGGAGGCTAATGTGCTGGATATTCACCCAACACACGGTTTATATGCCAGGATACAGCGACACTCAAGCCAGCAGAGGCCCGCTGAATTGAGTGGCACGTCTGGTGGTCTTGAACCCTGACCCCATCACCCTAGACCCAATCCGTAATGAGTCAGCAATTTCCTGTTCCATCAAACACAAAAAAATAAGTCGATCTTCACTGCATCCTGCTTCGATTTATTTTGTGTCAGACGGCTTGCTTCGACACTATCCTGTTCAGCCAAGAAGCTCTCGACAAATGGAGAAAATCGGAGACATTGAAGCCCACGGTGCATGTGGTGACCTAAAGTGGAAGGTCAAAGGAAGGGAACTTCTTAAGCTGATGGCCGAACCACGCTGCCAGACCAGCTGTGGTAATGTAGGGGCCTTTTTGCGCTCATATATGGTATAGCTATATTCAGGAGCCCCCTAAAATAGTCTTGGTAATTATTTAAGCACTGTATGTTACCCTCCCATTGCTGGAGTAAGGTACTATGGCGACTCTCTGACCACCGCAGGTCAGCCGTTCTCTGAGAAGGCGCTCCTTGCACCACCGCAAAACCCCAAGACCAAGACCCTAAAGCTCAAACCGTACAACACTTTCCCAAACGCAACCACTCCACAACTTCTTTGGGGTTTATAGGGTTTAGGGTTTTAGGGTTTAGAGTTCGTAGACATGAAGAAACCCGAAGCCCTAGATCCTGTACAACTGCGGCACGAGCTTCGTCTGTCGTTGCCAGATCGTCGAGTGCAGTCTCAGGTGGCGTCATGATCACCGGGCACCTGTCGACGAAGGCGCTGTAAACCCTCAGCTCTAAACCCTAAACCCTCGAGAACAAAGTTGGCGCTTGGTGGCTAAAAGTTTATCGGGTTCGGGGAATGGAATTTTTCTAAAGCCTCTATCAGATTTGGGATCCGTGTCATGGGCGGAGGAACGGCTGGATCATCGATATCCAGAGAATCTCAGAGGCTCACATTCGCTTCAGCCGGCGAGCAAGAAGGTCGACTCGACGAGACCCCTTAAATGGCTGCACCACTGCCCTGCTGAAGGAGCTCATCAAAAACATGCGAGCTCCGTGGGCATCCCTTCTAGTGTATGCTACATCTCTTCCCTCCGGTTAAGTATAGAACCTCCCGACCCGAAAGACTAGGCTCTAGCAGCCTCTATAGTAGCTCTGCGCCTACAAAAACTCACAGCCCACAGTAAAGCCCTCCATAACCCGCAACCTTTAACAGCCCCCAAAGCCCACCAGAACAGACAACGTTCAGCATCCCTCCAAACCCCCACCCGAGCCCCCCCCCCCTCACGGTACACAAACCCTACAAACCCTCCTAAAATCCGCAAGGACATAAACCCAAACTGGAACTCCCTGTTCCCTGTTCCCTAAACCCTAAACCCCCCCCGAAAAGCCTGCCCTTCAGTTCCCGCAGCTCTGTGAGGCCAATTCGGCCACGAGGGTCTGGGAAGTCCAGGATGAAAAGCTTCTCCAGGACCTGTAAGGTTTCTTCTTGCTTAGGGGTTCATGGGTTTAGGGTTTAGAGTCTAGAGGTTTAGGGTTTTTGGATCTTTGGGGAACGGAGCTTCCTTCACGTGCTCCTTTTAAGGGTCTCTAGGAGGGGGATCCTTGGGAAGAGGGGCTCCTTTCTGAGGGATTTGATATTTGCCCCTAAACCCTAAACCCTAAACCCTGGGGTGATATTTGGGTTCGGAGTTCTCAAGGACTTGGGCCTTGAAGGTCACTTCCCCCATGGACTCTGGGTGTCTAGGGTCATTCTGATATGGGAGCCTGATCAAGAAGCCTTAGCCCGTCTAGGCCTTAATCAAGGCTCTTTCTATGGACCCTATTTTGGGGTTATGGGAGCAAGATTCATACCGTGTGCGATTGCGAAATCGGGGCTGCACGATCTCGGATCCAGGCCTCTCGCAGTCAAACGCGATGGTGAGAGTTCCGCTGGCTTGCGCATGTTCGTTTACATCTGAGGGGTTGCGCAGACACGTAAGCAAGCGTGTTGCCGAGGGGTATTGGGAGGATGCAATCACACATGACATGGCGTTCAGATACGGCCTAGGGACCATTCTTCACAGGAGAATGTTTCGGAGCCCTTCTACTCTGTGCAGGACGCTGAGCCGAAACCTGAAGCAGACGCAGACCAGGACTCGTGAACCTTTCGGGGTGGGGGCCTCGTTGTTCCGTGGGGACGCGCCCCCACCGAAGCAGTTCTCAGCCTTAGCTGCGCACCGGCACAGCAGTAATACACAGTCAGTATACATATGTATATATATATATATATAAACAAGTGTAGATTTAGATATAGATGTAGAAACAGTATATAAAATAATATAGAGAACGTGAAGGAAACACTGGCATCAACACGGCAAGCAATCTCCTCGTCGAGGACACCGGCCATGCTTTCTTGCGTTGGTGTCACAGACGCTGGTATCGTCAAAGTCAGCATTGTGTGTATTGCTTTGGTGCGCCTTCTTGTTCGTGCTCCACCGGATGTTTGCTACGGTGTCAGCGGTCAGATTTTGTGCTTTTGGTGGTATGGAAGGGCCATGGTGGCAGCTGGCATTGCTCTCAAGATCGCGATACTCGGGGGTAGAATAGCATAACCCAATTGACATGCAACCCTCTGTCCAAAACGGTCGAGATACTGCGACGCGATCTTGGCAAGACAACAACGCCATGCATGCATGAGCTAGGCAGACGAAGCTTGCAAGACAGCCATGTTTGCTAGAGTGCCATGATGAGGGAGTGACAGCGAACCAGTGACATTGACAAGGCACGCCGAAAACAGTCAGCACGATGCGAACATGACGCTTTCACAAAACAAGAAAGCAAGAGCAACTATCAAGTGCAGGCAGGCTGAGAAATGAAACTTGGAACCATGCACCACTGCATCAACAGTCGGACGGCGAACCATGTTAGCATTGACCAGAGGCTTACGAAATCAAACGCTGCTGACCACAGCAAGGTACCATCAGAATGGTGTCTGCAAGGTGAATAAGCCATGCTGCTCATGTTATGCAAAGCATCAAAGCATACGTGCCTCCTAATTACACCCAGGCAGTCTCGGAAGCGAAAGAGTTGCATCACTGGAGCAACTGAAGAGCTGGAACATGTCATCGAGGCGCGGGTTCTACAGAAATCACGAAACGCGGAAGCCGAGAAATATCACGTGACATGGAGAACTTTAGGGTCAAAAGCAAACCCTGAACCCTGAACCCTAGAGGGTCAAAAGCAGCTACACCAACTCCAGAGGTCGCCGTGGTTGCCACTTGCTCAAGATTCCGCACAACTTCCTAGCAGTGAGGCGTGTGAGTTATGTCGGGGCCTTATTAGTTAGAATAGGGTTCTGAGGTCCATTACTGTAAGTATAGTAAGGACCCCCGCAAAAAAAAAATAGTATTGGCACTTATTTCGGCCCCTATATGAGTCAGATGAGCTACCATCATCGCGCCATGCCCCACCAGCGCCACATTGAGCTCTGGACCCTGGCGGTGAGGGTGGCGGTGGCAGGGAATGAACCCAGCTCTGTGATGCCCCAATGCGCTCCCCGACCCAGGTCTACCAAAATCAACCTTCCACGCCCGCGAGCTCCCACACGCAAAAGCGAAACTGACACCCCAAAGCTTCGACACAGAACCTGCAACTCTCAACACAACAAGGGCTCCCTAGGACCTACTTCTGTGGTAGCGCTACTGAATGTTCTGGTACAAGGGTTACCGTAGGATCCGACAAAAGCCAGGTCCCAGCACACCAAGGCATCTGCTTTCTCTCAAACCTCTGTGCACAGGCCACAATCACAACACCCGGAACCCGCATCCCTAAACATACCGCTAACCTTGAACAGAACCCTGGGTCCTACACCTACCCTACCGTCCCCCTTCCTACACCCGTTTGTCATGATATTTGTCTAGTACTCACCGCTATCATCTTGAGTAAGGACTTGGTGCAGACCCACCTGGGGTTTCCTGGCAAAAGACTGGGAGCTAGGATTTGGGGGACCCTTGGGGATATAGACCCTCTCAAATACTACCTAAAGACTGAAAGACTCGTCTGCGGCCTCCGTGGCATCGTAGGTTGCACGCTCGAAATGCGGCCCGACACCTTCGAGGAGATCGGGAAAGTGAAGAATCAGAACCAGCACAGTTTAGGGTTTGGGGTTAGGGTTTAGGGTTTAGGGTTTGGGGTTTAGGGTTTGGGGGTGAGGGACTCTCTAGTCTCTAGCAATACGAAGAGGACAGCGAATAATGGCCGTATCAGCAACGACACCACCAGATGAGAGTAAGACTGATCACAACCATCGCGAACGCACAAAGAACGGAAGACTCGCACGCACCTTAAAACCCGAAACCCCTCAAATCCGAGACCTAAAACCTTTGGGGCACCTTAGGTCTTCAAACGCAAGGATTTGGCACACGTGGGCATGCTTCTGGGCGGGCAGCTCTGAATGTAAGATATGCATGGGCCTTGGTGGTTAGGATAATGTATTGGCAATGTTGGGATATGCTACAGCAATATCAAAGTATGTAGGCTTGAGGGCCGCCCTTGATGCTTGGTCCCGCGATCTTGGAGCGTGACTGTTCCGATATTATGGGGTTGCTAAAAAGCCCGGATGCCTTTATAGGGGCGCTGATGCTGAAGATCCTATAGTATCTATAGGATCTGTATGAGGGGGGTGCTGACACTCCGATCTTGCACCCGCTTAAAGTGTCACAGCGACCCTTAAAGCGGCTTTAAACTCCCATATCAGGGAGCGCATTGCTTCTCGGCAGGTTGGTTTCAGAGTTTTTGAAGTGAGCCACCCTCACCATCAAACGACTGACCGATGCAAGACGGCAGCGTGACGAGGCATTCGAGGTACGGTATGCACCACCAGGCAGCTGCAGCACCCTGAAATCACCTTGGGTTTGAGAAGCTGATGGTGCAAGACAACTGGAGACTCGAAGGTGGGCCTCGGGTGCCATAAAGCTTCCGAAAGTTATTCGTATGTCCTGCTACAGCAAAACTGAGCACGGTTGACTGTTGCATCGCGCGGAGGAGGAGGTTTTGGATAAGCAAGTGGCCACTCCCACTCATTGGCCTACTGTGCTTAGTTCAAAGGCCTGGCATCTGTGGCATCTGGACCTGTGGATGCAGGCCTGTGCTGGTAGCAGAGCATGCAGCGAAACGTACTAATCTTCTTGCTTTACCACCCCTAAACCCACCTGACCCTTGCCGCCCCTAAACCCACCTGACCCACACCCATGGTCGGAACACATTTCTTCGCAAGCCCAACCAAAATCCAACTGAAGCTGTTGCTAGCTCCCGCATGAAAAGTCGACTACTATCGACTACTGCAGCAAAGACGCTGGACTCGGCATCCTGCAGGCCAGTTTCCCTCTGAATGAAATATAATGCAGCGGCCTTGATAAGTAGAATAGGGTTTTGGGGGGCTCCTTATCATAATTCTGATATTTGTAAAGCTATAACACTGTATAACGATAGTCGTCTTCTTATCTACTACGTTCAGTAATTAGCACTGTGCCAGCACTCCATTCAAGGCGGCTGCCAAGCCCTGGGCAGCTTCGGAAACAGGCGTGGGAAACGCAAACAACACTGACACAGGACAGAGTTCGTACGTTTACAAACAGCGCAGCCAGAAACTAACCCTATGCTTCCAGGGACCTTATTAAATGGGTCCTCAGGAGGTCTAGGGCCCTAACTATAATTTGGCCCTTGGAAGCCTAGGGTAGCATAACTTAAAAAGCAGACAAACAAGTCTAGGGTTATGGTCCATATGGGTTTAGGGTTATGGTCCATATGGGTTTAGTGCTATGGTCCATATGGGTTTAGGGTTGTGGTCCATATGGGTTTAGGGCTGTGGTTCATATGGGGCTTTCCGAAAATGTGGGACCCTAATCTAATACCCTAAATAGTAGGATCCTTCTTATAAGGACCCCAAAGTAAGGTACCCCCTATTTTCGGAAACTCCCATATCATTCGCCCTAAACCCTAAACCCTAAACCCTCCATATGGGTTTAGGGTTTAGCAAAGCCTAACCCGAAGCACCGGAGGCCTCCAGGGCCTCGCGCGCGCCGGGCGTCGGCCTCAACGGCGGCGATAACAGCGAGGGGACGAGGACCAACCTCCAAGAGCGGTTTAGGGTTTAGGGTTTGAGGTCTAGGGTTTAGGGGAGAGGGTTTAGGGTTTAGCTTTAGGGTTTAGGGTTTAGGGGAGAGGGAATTTCAAAGCACGGGCTTGTGGAGGCATTCATAGTTGGAATAGGGTTTGGGGGTAGATTCTTCCTTAGCACGAACACAGAACCCGTGGGTTTATATTGTATACCTCGATCTCCAAATTTTGGGTTTGGGGCAAGCGTGGGGTTTGGGGCACACCTGGTATACCTCGCCGGCCTACCTTATGCGGGTCGTCATTGTCAGGCTATAGGCTGCAGGCTTGCAAGGTTCAGGATCGAATTATGCCCCACGGTTCATGGAGTCGCTTCTTCGGCTTGATCGCGGTCCCACGCGAGAGAAATGTATTGAGCCGCAGCCCCGAAGCCAAAAACGTTGGATCCGAAAGCCCGAGCTTGCTTCTGAAACTTAAACCCTGCAGCCTGGAAACACATCAGAGTCCTAGACGTAGACCTGATAAGCAACCCTAAACCCTAAACCCATATGACCCACAACCCTAAACCCATATGGACCATAACCCTAAGCCCATATGGACCACAACCCTAAACCCATATGGACCATAACCCTAAACCCATATGGACCACAACCCTAACCCATATGGACCATAATCCTACCCATGTAAACCACAGAAACCATAACCCCTAAACCCTAAACCCTAAACCCTAAACTCCAAACCCTAAACCCTAAACTCCAAACCCTAAACCCTAAACCCTAAACCCTAAACCCATGTAAACCCATAGAAACCATAACCCACGAGGCCCTTCGAGTCTCACCGTCCTCACCCCTCACGGCCGAGCCACGCAAGGAAAGCCTTGAACTCCTGATACCTGAAGAGGATGATTTTGGGCTCAGGGTTTGGGGTTTAGGGTTTAGGGCTCAGGGTTAGGGTTTATAGGGGTTTAGGGTTTAGGGTTTAGGATTTAGGGCTCAGGGTTTAGGGTTTAAGCTTAGAGTTTGACATTTCGTACAGGTTCGATTGGGCTGGGCTTTGGGATACAACAGGGTTTGGGATGGTTTGAGGCTTCGGGTTTCCGGCTTTACACGTTTAGGGTGTGAGTGGAAACTTCCGACGGCATAGCCCTGTCATCTTTTGCGGCGAGTGTAGGGCTCCGTGGGATCTCGACGGAGTTTTGAAGGATAAACCGTGCCCGATTGAGACCCCAAACGGCTACTAAGAACGAGTTGAACATCGAAGGACATCATGCCATGTGATATGGCTCCTGTTGATGTTGCTTCGACTATGTTAACGCGCCATGGGCCGTCGTTGCCAAGGTCGCCTAATCCTGAAGAATCCGGATCCTAGAGGGCCAACATCGGATTGCTGAAGGTTCCGGATGAGAGGTCTACTGTAACTTCCCGTTGTCCCTGAATTTCGAGCACACTTGCGCGCATTAGCCCCCAAACGTGGCACATGCATGCGCCAGAGGACAGGCTCAGGAAAGTTGACTTGAATGTGTTGACGCCCATAAATAAGTACCAATATGGGGTTTCCGAAAATAGACAATCCTAATACAATACTCTAAATAGTAGGATCCTTATTATAAGGACACCAAAATAAGGTACCCCTCATTTTCGGAGACTCCCATATCATTCGCCCTAAACCCTAAACCCTAAAACCTAAAACCTAAATCCTAAACCCTAAACCCTAAACCCTAAATTAAAGTCCAAACCCCCCAGCCCCCGACCCTTCCATGGCCCCCAGACATCCCGCGCCAGGCTGCTGCTGCGCTAATCTGGGCCAGTGCCGTACCTTAAAGGTAATTTTGGCCTAGGGCTTATAAGGCTTAGAGGGCTTATAGGGTTTATAGGGTTTATAGGGTTAAAGTAATTTTGGTTTAGGGCTTATAGGGTTCATAGGGTTTAGTGTCGACAGGGCTTATGGGGTTCAGGGTTTTGGGTCTTAGGCCTCAGCAGGGATTGTGGGGAAGCAGGGGTTTGGTTTCCAGAGATGCAAGGAATGATTGAGAAAAGGTTCACTTGGAATTGGAGCCAAGTGACGAGCTTCCTGATTGCACATTCAGAGTCTGCATCTCTAGGTTGCTAGTTATGTCAGGTGGCGACTGGCATGCAGGCAGATAGGGTAGGTAGGCACACAGGAAGTGCAAGCACGGAGGTAGTGGCGACCTCGCTCCAGGATGTAGAGTGCAGAGTAAGGTTTGGGGTCCCCCAACCCTTAGATCCTGGAGCTCTTGCTGGCATGAAAATGCACTTAGCGATTGCAGCGTAATTGCCAAGTCAGCGGTATCGGAGTGTGGACTGTGCGTGTGACTGCCATGAACTCGGCTACTGCTGCAGTGAACTTTCGCTCAGTCTTGATTTGTACCGTTTTGATCCGTTTTGTGCTGTAAGTGACAAAATTTCCTGAACACAGTTTACAGCTTGCTTGCAACTGGGGTCACTGTCCTCTTTACATGTCACTATCAACCGGTGTAGGTTTTTGAAGGGAAGAACCTATACTTCATTCATAAATCCCCCATCTGCTGAACCCCTGTGCCGGTCAATGCAACGATGCGGGCGTTAGACAAAGCTGCACCTGGAATCTCGACATTAAACCCCAGGCCAAACGTTTACAGCACGCCAGGGATGTTGAGATTTTGTACTACACATGACTGACTCCCAAAGGGTCCAAAGTACCTATATGGTAGAATGGAGGGCTTCTAGATGAGGAATCCTTATTGCTTATTATGGTTTGGGAAAGTATCGCCCATAACAGTACCTAGGACCCTGTGGGACTGCGAGCTCCGGTGCGAAGCGATCGTCCATGATGTCGTGGGAGTACAGGCTTCGTAGTAGGTCCTGGCAAGGTTCTTCGACAAAGGCCACAAGTAGTGAGTCCTCAGGGACTTTGGGCTAAGGGTTCAGGGACTTTGGGACTTAGGGTCAGGGTTTAGGGTTTAGGGTTTAGGATTCAGGGGCTTTGGGACTGGTGCGAGTAAGGCTCTGGCTCTCAAGAACACGGAGATGTGACAACACAGCACCAAGCCCGATGAAATCCACGCCAGGCATGGACCTCCCTTTGGGTTTAGGGTTTAGGGTATAGCCTATCGAACGTCTCCATTGTGGTTCCTTTTTTGGGGGTTACCTTTTAGGATCCTTAATCTAAACTTGGCTAAACCGAAAAAAAGAAACTACAATTGAGACTATAGGTAGACCTCAAGCCCTAAACCCTAAATTTAGAGAACCAAGAATCCCACTAGACTGCTTTTTGAGTTGACAGAGGCCTCGCCCCCCAACCCAAACCTTCGGGAACCCAACCTCTTCAGCCATGATACCAGGACCCCAAAAAGGGTAGCGTGGGGAAAAATACCAGAAGCCAGCATCTGAGTTCCTTCTCTCTCTTTTTTAAGCGCCCCTTTTCCTATCCACAGCACCCGGGTTTAGGGTTTAAACCCTAAACCCTAAACCCTTAAAGGGTTTAGGGTTTCGTAAACCCTGTTTGAATCATCGGCCCACGTTCTAGATAAGTAGACCCAAAAGTTTCCGAAACCCGAGACCCGGACACCCTAAACTCGACAAGCCACAAAACTACAGCCCCCCAAAACCCTTCTGGGGTTTAGGGCTTGGGGTCTAGGGTTTAGGGTTTGGGGTTTAGGGTTTAGGGTTTAGGGTTTAGGGTTTGGGGTTTGGGGTTTAGGGTTTCTTGAACCCTTAAAACGAAACAGGTGGACAGAACAACTTCACAGCACTCGGACTCTCACTCCCAAAGGACTCCACTAAACGACAGCCGCATGCAAGCCAAACAAAACCACCAAAATCCCAAAAGCTACTGTATGGCCCCCCAAGTCCACAATGCAACTCTTGAAGCAGGCCTTCTGCATCGACAAGGGTGCCGGGAGGTTGTCTGCCTGGAACCGGGTGCAAAGCAAGGGTTCCTTAAGAGTTCATTGCTATACAGGTTGCTGAAGTGGGCGATGGATTTAGTACAGGATCAATTGCATGCACGACTGGTTGCTGATAGCAGTCATACGAGACAGAAATAACGAAAGACTACCCGAGGACTATCATGCACACATGCGGCATTTCACCTGCGAGGCACAGGCATAATTACTCCATTGTAGTTCCTTTTCGGGGGTTACCTTTTAGGGTCCTTAATCTTGTAGGGTTTAGGGTTTGGTTATACCAAGAAAAGGAACTTGAACCCAAAACCCTCAGATTAAGGATCCTAAAAGGTAACCCCCATATAAAGGAACTACAGCGGAGACTCTAGGAATCGCAGAGGGCCTGGAGCGGCTGCTTGGAGGCGGAGCGCTCCGCCACGTAGGGCAATGGTGAGACCGTCCTAGGTAATCATCACAACAACATCATCAACAACAAGAAGAAGAAGAACAACAACAACAACCAC